CTGGGCGATCCAGCGGTACGGGAGCGACCGGACAAAGCTTCGGCCGGTCCGCCGCCACATAACGTCTCCCAAGGGAAAAACAATTCCTCTTGGCTCTGTTAAAATATTGTTATTATAGGCTCTGACCGCACTAAAAACTAAGAGGGCAGAAACAAAAATGTACCAAAAAGCAGTCGTGATGGGCCAAGAGCATTGTGGTGGGCCGAGGAGGAAAATCCAACAACGCAAACAATGAATCTGTAGACGTGTTAGCCATAGGCTTCGGCCGGTCCGCCGCCACATAACGTTTCCCAAGGGAAAAACAATTCCTTTTGGCTTTGTTAAAATATTGTCATTATAGGCTCTGATCGCACTAAAAACTAAGAGGGCGGAAACAAAAGGCAGTCAACTCTGCTGGGGATCAAACCCAGAATCTCTGGTTTCGTAGACCAGCGCCTTATCCATTGGGCCACAGAGTCACTAACGAATGTAATCAAACGTTAACATCACACCAGCAGGCACTAGTTACCCAACAGGCCTGACATCACAACGAACTAATAATCAACCAAATGTAGCTGCTCCTGCTGGTACACAGCCGATGCCATGGCGGCCGCGGCAAGGCCACGTCAACATGGATCTAACCATGTTGCCCTGGACGCAAGTTCCCAAGCCGAAGGCCATCTCTCCACCCGATCCTTTTCCCCTTTTGTGAACATTCCATTCCACCGGATATCTGGACCAGAGGCCGACACGGCCGAGCGTAACCGGGACTCTTCGCCCCCCTTTTCTCTCTCGTCCATGATCCTGTCATGATTACCTTGACTCCCCCAGTGGTTGATCAGCCCCACTTTGCGTTCAGCTCACTTATCTCTCTAAAGAAAGCGTCATGTTGTTCCCGGCTCCACCGGCCAAATTGATTAGCACATCTCTTTCCCTTCCCTGCCCAGCGAATCTATTCCCCCCTTGCCGACGGTCGATGAGTGCGCTCTACTGCACTACCTGCTCGGCGAGTGCGCCGAGTTCGTACTTCGTCGTCCCGAGCAGCAGCGATGTGTCTGTCCTTGTGGTTTGTCGAGGACGAAACGGAAATTGACGGCCAATTTGGCCACTGTTCACATGGCCGGTCACCACCCGGTTCGTACGCGCGCGTGGTCACAACTCGTTCGTTCGTTCGATCGGATCATCGCAGGGAGACAAGGAGAGACGAGACGAGACTCGAGAGGGAGTCACATTTGAACAAGAACAGTCTGCATCTTCTGTACAAGCAGCGATTTTCCGCCGAGACATGGACACCGACGTCGCAACTACCGCCACCCAAGAACAACAGCTACACGTGAACCGACGACAAGGAAAATCAAGGAGTCATCTGAGGCGCTCGGCCGGGTCGATCAGCTCGCCGGCGGCCGGCTTGTCGGCGGTGGCGGAGGCGGAGGAGGGCCGGCGTCCTTCGTCGAAGTTCTTGGCGTAGCTGGCGGCGTCGTACTGGAAGGTGATCATGGGGGGCGGCGCCCTGGGGCTGGGGCAGCAGGCGCTCTTCCTCACCAGCCGCCTGAGCAGCCGCCTCCACGCCCGCCGCCCGCTGTCGCGGCCGCCGTCGCGAGACAGGAGGTGGAACCGCCCGGGGCTCCGGTGCACGGCCGGCAGCCACGCCGGGGAGGCCATGCAGCCGGTGAAGTAGGAGGAATGGCTCGGCGTCGACGGCTCACTGTCCATCTCCATGTATGCTGTGGCAGAGCGCTGAGGCAGAGCTGTGTGTGAGTCTGAGGTCTCAGCTGAATGTGAGTGAGGGGTTTTGATAAGGTTATATACTCGTTTCAGAGAGGGTTGGATTAGGAGGGAAGAGACAAACAAAGGGGGATGGTTCCAAATTTCGGTCACCACTTAAAAATTCAGAAGTCTCAGTTATTTTGTCTTTCGGTTCGGCTGAATAGCACTTCTTTTTAACTCCCACTGTCCATGTTTACTAGGTGCTTACAACAATTTCACCATGGGCTGTGCCCCAAAAAGCACACCACTAAAACTGCTTTTAAATGTGAATCCAATGGTATCAACTTTATTTAGTAATATAAAATTTGTAGTATTTGCTGGAGCAATCCTTGACCCAATTTAAATTTTCAAAGGCGTGCACACGTACTAACTCATGAGTACGTATTTGTTTTGAACTTAAAGGTGACCACTTGTTTATTAAGCCTCCTTGCTGGAACTAGTCACCACATCATTAGCTGCAATCATGACACGAGTTTAAAACCTCAAATGTATCATTAGCGAGAGGACCACCGCAATAGATGCCATTGCAACCGAGGATCATTGCTAGCAGCTGCATACTATCCCACAGCACACATACAGCTGCTACAGTAGAACACAATTGCACTGGTAGCACCAACTACACCCACTAAAGTTTGTACTCCTCTACTCAGAATCACTCGGACACAGGTACACAGCCCCACAATATCCAAGGGAAGGAAAAAAATGTCAACTAAAAGATGATTTTTTTTTAAAAAAAAAAAGGAGATGTACCCGGCCTCTGCATCTGGGCGATGCATGCAGTCATTTTATTAATTATTCACAAAGTCCTTACAGGGTAATACATCAGTAAGCCTGAAACTACCATCTTGGCAACACCTGTCGCTACTCCTATCCCCGTGATGAAGGGGTGCCGAATATCCAAGCCTAATACCAAACAGACATCGCTCCAACACCTAACATCTAATGTCGGATGCCCCATCCAAGCCACAATACTTGGATTGGGTTACAAACTGGTCCGACGCACTTTCAGTGGGCATCACATACACACGCTACAAGGGTCGTCACCTCCTTCATCCATTGATCCATCCTCAGATGAGATACTGACGCATCGACCTTGCTAGGGCTCTCAATCATAGACGCCACCACGACGGCAAACACCGCCGTCCTCCTGCGCGAGTCCATCGCCACCCATCGGACGCCGAGTCTCCACTGCGCCACACCGCTGAGATTCGCCGCCATTGATGTGTAAGATGAAGCACCGCTCCACCACCTATCGGCGCCCAACCACCAAGCCGTCCACATGTACGTCTAGCCGATGAATGTCTCTAAAGATGATGTCCCCATGGGGGTGACCATGAAGATGTCGCCATCATCTGATCCAGGAGGCCCCTCCATGCCTCCAATGAGGGCTACGATGCCCACAGGCGCCGCCGTCCATTGTAGCCTCCTCCAGAGATGAGGTTTCCCCTGGAAACAATGGAGCGATGGACGCCCAACCATTGCCTCCAACGAGAAAAACGACACCCACGGGCGCCGCCGACGATGGTGGCATCCTCACCCACTTCAGCAGCTAGGCCACCATCTCCTCCTCCAGTTGATCCGCTGCCGGGAAGCCGCCGCGAGGCAACACCCACCAACCAGATCCTTTTGGACTGATGATGAAGACAACCAAAGATAAAGGAGGTCACATCGTTGTGTGACCGACGTCGTGGCCACACACACGTCCTCCCGAGGCGCCCGCTGAAGATCCACCGTCACAGCCACACCTCCAAGCCGCGACGGAGGGACGCCCCGCCACCGCCATCATCCCCCCGCATGGGCTTTGCCCAGCCGGGATCCGGCGGCCGCGGGAGGGGAGGGGAGGCGGTGGAGATCGGGATCTGGAGTGGAGGGGAGGCGGAATATTTTAAAAGGTGATGAATGTAGGTTTTCACAAGGGTGATGAATCAGTACCGTTGACTGAAGAAAAATAATACTCCATCGGTTGCCGAATTATAAGATGTTTTAACTATTTTCTAAATTAGATGTATATAGACGTGTTTTAGATGTTTTTTTTGTGAAGAGACGTGTTTGGGTGTATTTGTTCACTCATTTCCTCCCATCTATGTAATTTGTTCACTCATTTCCTCCCACTTCAGCAGCTAGGCCACCATCTCCTCCTCCAGTTGATCCGCTGCCGGGAAGCCACCGCGAGGCAACACCCACTAACCAGATCCTTTTGGACTGATGATGAAGACAACCAAAGATAAAGGAGGTCACATCGCTGTGTGACCGACGCCGTGGCCACACACACGTCCTCCCGAGGCGCCCGCTCAAGATCCACCGTCACAGCCACACCTCCAAGCCGCGACGGAGGGACGCCCCGCCGCCGCCATCATCCCCCCGCATGGGCTTTGCCCAGCCGGGATCCGGCGGCCGCGGGAGGGGAGGGGAGGCGGTGGAGATCGGGATCTGGAGTGGAGGGGAGGCGGAATATTTTAAAAGGTGATGAATGTAGGTTTTCACAAGGGTGATGAATCAATACCGTTGACTGCAGAAAAATAATACTCCATCGGTTGCCGAATTATAAGATGTTTTAACTATTTTCTAAATTAGATGTATATAGACGTGTTTTAGATGTTTTTTTTTGTGAAAAGACGTGTTTGGGTGTATTTGTTCACTCATTTCCTCCCGTCTATGTAATTTGTATTAAATTATTCAAAACATCACGGTTGTACTACTCCCTCCGTTTATTTTTACTCCGTATATAAGATTTGGTTAAAGTCAGACTACATAAAGTTTGACCAAATTTATATAAAAAATATAAACATCTACAATACTAAAACTATATAGTATGAAAATATGGTTCGTGGTGCATCTGATAATATTGATTTCATATTATGAATGTTTATATTTTTTAATATAAAATTAGTCAAACTTTACAAAGCTTGACTTTGACCAAACCTTATATGGGGACTAAAAAAACGGAGAGAGTACCAAGGAAACACCCAAGCAGACTTGCTGCTATAAATATCAGCCCATTCGTCCAGGGTCCAGCTGTTTTATCAGACAAGCCAGTCCACTTCACGGACTGACGGAATAAATGAGGAATACATATCGAGGGCACGACGCGAGTGCGGATCAGATCCGGTGGTTGCACCCAACTGGAGAATGAGGATCATACGGAATTTATGTCCTGCAACCGCAGCAGCATGTTGCTAACGTGTAAACGAGCGTGCCGTGTAACCGAAAGTTGCATCCGTGTTCATGGCCGTCGTGATCGTCCTCGATCAGCTTCGTTTGGTTTAAACGAAAGGTAGTGCGGTGCAGGACCGGGAATGCCCAGTACTAGTATCTTTTGGAAGTTCTATACCAACCGTACCCTAGCTTGTCTGCCGCTTGTCTCTTCTGCTGATGAAGGGAGTTGGATCCAGTCCATCGATCGGGGGTGGGACTGCATGCGCGGCAAAACCGTACCACTCCATCTCACAACTAAAGAAAAACAATCTAAGTGTTAAAAAAAAACACAATCTAATGATATATTTCTCCCCTATGAGCGTACACAGTTATGCCCTGGTTCTATGGGCATCTTTCAGAGACCGAGCTGACAGACTTTAAGATTGACAAAGTCATTATTGACACCTCATTATCAACGAAAACATCGCGTCCCACTGAAATGAAACAATGTGCTAAACATGGGGTTGATCTCCGACGAGCTGGAGATACAACCTCCTAACCATGCAACCACAAGTGATTCTCCATTGAAATGATATTTAACCAAATTTAGAAAACTATTAGTACAATAAGCGCCCACCTCTATGACAGTTTTTTCGGCTTATTTATTAGCTCATGGGTAGAATTAAGAACAAGCCAAATGAGAACTCAAAATATGTGCCCACCTCAATTTCTAAGTTCCCCCTCCCCTATTGTTTGGAAATAAGCTGGGAAAGAGGTGCTTCCTGAGCTTCTCTTTAAAGCAAACCCTTTCTTTTTCAAAAATACACCTCTCCCATAATACCAAAAATGAAGCAGGTCAACGACCCAAACCTTGAGTTAGCAGTTAACCACACTTGCATCTCAAGAACAAATGAGCTTTTCCCAGAAGGAAGGTAAAATCGCCGCCCTCAGCACACTCAGGATGCAGACAATCGTAATATGTTGAAAATAGTGCCAAGGCACCAACACCAAACAAATCAACCTACTCCAACCACTTCGGAGTATATACGAACTAAAGAGAAAACCGAAGCCCCTCCACTTTGGACAATCCTTGCTTGAGCATCACCTCTATCGAACCACAAACATATCACCTTGTGGACTATAATCCGTCGGCAGAACAACATGAGACTTAACAAAGAGTGTGACATCTAAAGACAACACCTTAAAGGATAGATAACCACCCTTATGTTGATGTTGTCATGTCAAACCAAAAGGGCAACATCTGCTCTCACCTCCAATATGAAGCTCCGAGACACCACCTTTAACAAGTACATCACGTCCAAGATACCCAGACAACTTGAACTAGCTAGAAAGTTAAATCATAGGTTTTCACTCAGAGAACATGATCAATACCATAATCCACCAACACCGCCGACCATCCGATCTCAACCTACTCAGACAAAGAATTTTATGATAGGCTTCCGATGTGGGAATTCGTAGGGTATGGTTGTATCAGTTTTGATTCGGTCAATCTTAGGAGCAATTTTACTTGTACGGTTAAATATTTGGATAGAGACTATTCGAATCCAATTTCTTTGTCTAGTTTTGTTTAGTTTGATCATAGCTATATATGCATATGCACACGCACGTGAAAGGTGCTGCTAGTACATGTGTACCTTCTACGCGGGAAAAAGTACAACTGTAATTCATGCAAAGCCATCAGACTCGAAAAAATGTGCTCTTCCTTGTGTCCCTGGTGCGAACAACCGTTTGCTTTGGGAGTCTCACGCGAGTGAACATCGCCGTTCGCTCTAGTAGGATCACGCGAGCGAACGACC